GGTTAGATCCTGCTGTCAGGGTGACCGTGCCTGGAGGTGATTCTCCTCCAGGCTCAGCCTGGCAAGCTCTTTAAAAGGCCATTTGCCTACGAGTAAGAGTGGCTGGGTGGGCAAAGGAGATGAGAAAAAGAGACCACCTGGGGCTGAGCTGCTCCCAGGCTGCTCCCCAAGCCCACAGCCCCTGGAATATGTAGGGCATAACACCTAGAAGGGCAGGGAGCCAACAGATCAAGGGGATTGCTGCTGCCATGCTGAGCCAAGAGCAGCATCCATCCATCCCTATTCCATGGCTAACCTCCCATCCCCACTCCATGGATCCCTAACTTCCAGCAGAGCAGGCAGAGCTTCTTGCACTACTCTGTCCATCATTTTCAGTCACTGTTAAGATCTTGCAAAAGAATCCCGGAAAAAGGGGGATTCCCTGTGCTAGGAAAACATGAAACCAGAACAGTAAACATCACAATGAGTTTGTGCAACCCTCTGGATATCTAAAGTACAAAGCTTCTCCTTCCCCCTGCCTCCTGGGAAGACTTGGGAAGATTCTGCAGCACAGCTCCTGCACATCCAGCCTATTCTTGTGGGTTCATGGCACTTGGGGAGCAACAGGGATTTGCCAGCACCCACAGGAATGTTTTGGTAAAAGCAGAATCTGGAAAGGCTTCTGCCTTCCAAACTGCTCCAAAGATCTTCCCCAAGCTGGAAAATCCAAAGGAGTTCAGCCTAGTGAAGAGTTATGTTCTTCCTTCCCCTGATTTCTCCTAAGTTGCTGCAACTCCCATATTCCTTCCAGTTCATTTAATCTGTTGGCCAGGTCTGTACCCTGAGTCGCTGCACTGACACCAGGGGCTGACACTGTCCCTCAGCGACCAACCCTGGTGAGAAACTGGCCTAGCAGGACTTCACATTTCACAGCCCAGCTTTTCAGATTTGAGGTGCTTAACATGATGGCCATTCCCTCACAGCAGGGTTCCTCAGAGGCTTTGGTTCACCCTGCCTTCATGAAAACCTGAGCCTTGTCTTCCTTGGATCTGCAAGGACAGTAGCTCTTCAGATCCACTCCACAAACCACTTCCAATTCAGCACTTGTCAACTGATCCAAAATCCACAGAATTCAGTGGGAAAAAAAAAAAAGACTTCCCACTAAATGTAGTGGATCAGGTCCTAACTCAAAGGCTACAGATCTACTCTGGAGACCCAGACCTGAAGGCACTGAGCACATCTATTGCCACCAGACACACGAGATCCTTTCAGAGGTGCTGGGTCCAGGCACAAGGAGGCCTCTATTCCACCGGGTTTGCCTCCTGCAAAGTTTCCTTCTTGATGTGCTGTGGGTGGAAGAGATTGACAAGGGATTTCTTGGGCTCCCTCTTGTGGCCCATCGCCCAGAGACCCACCTTCCTCCCTGGAAGTGGCACCTGGGTGTCCGTGGGGTTACGTTTCACCACGTTTCACTTGTCGGGATGTACCGACCAGAGAACCCTAGGGAGGCCAAACACAGCTGGGTTGCCAGGGAGAGCCTGAGCACCTCCCACCTCCCCCCTGCCGCGTTTTGCAACCCAGAAATGTTTCAGCTTTGACCACAGTGGGGCAATGCTGCTCAGGCCTTTTCCCCTGGGAGCAGTCGCCTCAGGAAGGAATGAAGCTTCCCTCAGCAAAAATGGGAATGATTGTTTCTACTCGGAGCCTGGGCAACTGAGCCAGCCAGCTGTGGGAGCCCTGAGGTGCCTGCTCAGCACTCCCCAGTCCACGTTCAGTCTGGCAAGACCCACAGAGGCTGGGACACTCTCTCTGATGTCCTGGCTCTGACAAGCAGAAGGCAGAGTCAGCCCTCACTGCCTAATTAGTGTCCCTTAAATTTAAACCTGCACTTATGTTAATCACTAACTTGGGCCAGGAGAGCACAAGAGACAGAGTCAAACTAAGGTGGCTTTTGGCTTAGCAGGACAAACAACCTCTGCAGAGGCTGTTCCTGCTCTTGGGCTGAGCCTGGACACTCCACAGCAAGGGCTGCAACCACCAGAGGAGCTTCTGGCTCCCAGATGTTGGTCACTAACACTGCTGGAATGCCATTGCCTCCTCCACCCTGCTTCAGTGCCAAGGCAGCCAGGATAACCACCAGAAGCAGCCTGAGCTGTTTCAGGAGAGCCCACAAACACCCAGAGCTGAGCTGGGTGGCACTGAGCTGCCCACCCTGCCCCTCTCTCCTGCAGGCCAGCAGACAGGCCTGGGCAGCACCACAGCACTGACTTGTAGAGCCACTGGCACAACCAAGTGTCCTGTTCAGCCCCCCTTGCTGGGGGAACAGCCACCTCAAGAGAGCCAAGAGCAGCAGGAGCTGCTAGTTCTGTACCACAGCAAAAGCAGAGCTCACACTATCCCCCCTGCAAGGTCCAGTAGCAGGAGGACAGATCACCTGAACCCCTACAGCCATCTGACCCTGGCTCCAGGACATCTCAAGCACACATCACTAACACCTGAACCCCACAGAAGCAGACCTACCACCTTCTCCTTCCTCCCCACAAGACACCAGGGTGCCTTCCACAGAGAGAAGATGCACCCACATGAACCCACTGGGGCAGCAGGCAGTGCCAGCTTTGGCCCTAAAATGGTCAGTGCTAGTCACACTGCCAGGTGGTGGTGAGCTGTGCTGCTTCTGGAGGCAGTCTGGGTGGTGGCACCAATCCCCTCCTCCTGAGGGCTCTCTCAGACAGTCATAGAATAGTTGGGGTTGGAAGGGAGCTCTGGAGATCAAGTCCAGACCCCCTGCCAGAGCAGGATCACCCAGGGCAGATCACACAGAAACATGCCCAGGCAGGCCTTGAAAGTCTCCAGAGAAGGAGACTGCACAGCCTCTCTGGGCAGCCTGTCCCAGTGTCACTCTCACAGGAAAGAAGTGTTTTCTGGTGTTTAACTTGAATCTGCTCCATTTTGCACCACTGCGCTGCCTGCAAAGCCCGGAGGACCCCAAGCTCAGAGCCCTCGGCCGCGGCCAGGCCGCAGTCACCCGCTCCGTGTTATTCCCGGGCGATCCCGGAGCTTCGTGCGTCCCGCGACCTACGCGGAGACCCACGCACCGATCGGATGCGGGCGGGAGGTGCGGGAGGTGAGGGGGCGGGAGGAGGGGCGGGAGATGGAAGTTCTGCAGGCTCACAAATTTGAACTGGAAGAGTAAGAGAAGGTTAGAAGGGACAACTGCACAGCCTAAAGCAGAACAAATCACTGCATCGAGCCCTGGGGTGGAGACAGCTAGAGGAAGGACTTTCACCAGTGTGAGATCCAGCATGAGAGAGACAGGGTGAGGGACAGGCTCAGAGGAAGTCACCAGAGGGAAGAGGAGATCCCGAGCAGGGAGCAGGTCATTGGACTGCTGGCCTTCCTGCCACAGGGTGCTGGGGGCCCAAAAGCAAGAACAGCCTCAGAAGAGAACCAGACCAGCTCCTGAAAGTCAGGTCCTGGTGGCCGCTAACTCCACGGCCCAGGTACAACCACTGGCTGATAAAGTCACAGGGAACATGACAGGTATCCTCAATTCCTTACTCCTTCCATGACAACTGATCTCTGTGACCACTACAGGACAGCCCATTCAGAACACTAACTCCTAAGCAAACCCTGGGCCTAAAGAAAATGACAGGACCAAGCTGTCCATCAGATCCCCCTAGAGCAACCACGAATGCCCTCATGAAAACCTACAGAAACCACCAGAATGATATCCCAGTTCCAAATGATCCCCTCTCCACAGCCATGTCACAAGAGCTGTGGATGGCAGAGACTCAGCACCCAGCTCCCACACACTCCTGAGACCTTTTCTCCAAGCAGCTAAGACTTCAGGAAGGACTTTTCAGGAGAGCTGAGCCCCGAGATGCTCTTTTCACCTCAACAGAAAGCACTGACTTCCAGGCAGGATGCAAAGCAGACAGATGTCTGCTCCAGGCTGCTGGCTCAGCCAAGCACATCTTTCCACCAAGTAAATGGAAGCTGAACCCCTCCCCTCCTTCAGTGGTTGTCTTCTGGATGTTCCCACAGGATGCTCTTCAAACACACTGCTCTGCTGCTGGCAGTGGAGCTGTTATCCCCACTTACTGAACTGCTCAGCTTGGCTCTGCCTCAGCACACACACTGCTCCAGGAGCCAGGCTGCCCAATCTCTTACATCCATCCCCAAAAATCACCTTCCAAGCTCCTAGGGCTAGGACCTCCATGTGGATGTCTTCAAAGTTTTATCCTTGCTCAGCAAGGACTTGGGGTGGCAAACCTGTAACCAGCCTGACAACTTCAGTGACTAGGTTAGGCAGGAGGGTGACTAGAGCTTTGCCAGCCTTTGCCCTGGCCTTGCCAGTCCACAGGAACTACACCTGGAGAAACCACACTGGATTTCCATTCTGTTTCAAGGGAAAGCTAAAAGCAGCATGGAAGTTAGCTGATAGCCTGCAGTCTGATCTCTCTCTCAGCACTTTGCCTGGGAAAAAACAACAACACCAAAGAACCCATCTACACTTGTTTGCAAAGCTCAGTGGTTCTATTTACATCCTGAACATGGAATCCTCCTCCTGAGGGCTCTCTCAGACAGTCATAGAATAGTTGGGGTTGGAAGGGAGCTCTGGAGATCAAGTCCAGACCCCCTGCCAGAGCAGGATCACCCAGGGCAGATCACACAGAAACATGCCCAGGCAGGCCTTGAAAGTCTCCAGAGAAGGAGACTGCACAGCCTCTCTGGGCAGCCTGTCCCAGGGCTCTGCCACCTTCACAGGAAAGGAGTTCTTCATGATGTTTAACTTGAACCTCACATGCTCCAGCTTGTGCCCACTGCCACTCATCCTATCACAGGGCACCACTGAAGAGAGACTGTCCCCTCCTTCCTGACACCCACCCTTCAGATATTTGTAAGCAAGAATAAGATCCCCTCTTGGGCTTCTTTAGACCAGGCAGCCCAGGTCTCTCACCTCGAAGGGGAAGTCCATGGCCAGCACCTCACACAGGCTGTCCGAGGAGCAGGGGAAGTTCTGCAGGCTCACAAATTTGAACTGGAAGAGTAAGAGAAGGTTAGAAGGGACAACTGCACAGCCTAAAGCAGAACAAATCACTGCATCGAGCCCTGGGGTGGAGACAGCTAGAGGAAGGACTTTCACCAGTGTGAGATCCAGCATGAGAGAGACAGGGTGAGGGACAGGCTCAGAGGAAGTCACCAGAGGGAAGAGGAGATCCCGAGCAGGGAGCAGGTCGTTGGACTGCTGGCCTTCCTGCCACAGGGTGCTGGGGGCCCAAAAGCAAGAACAGCCTCAGAAGAGAACCAGACCAGCTCCTGAAAGTCAGGTCCTGGTGGCCGCTAACTCCATGGCCCAGGTACAACCACTGGCTGATAAAGTCACAGGGAACATGACAGGTATCCTCAATTCCTTACTCCTTCCATGACAACTGATCTCTGTGACCACTACAGGACAGCCCATTCAGAACACTAACTCCTAAGCAAACCCTGGGCCTAAAGAAAATGACAGGACCAAGCTGTCCATCAGATCCCCCTAGAGCAACCACGAATGCCCTCATGAAAACCTACAGAAACCACCAGAATGATATCCCAGTTCCAAATGATCCCCTCTCCACAGCCATGTCACAAGAGCTGTGGATGGCAGAGACTCAGCACCCAGCTCCCACACACTCCTGAGACCTTTTCTCCAAGCAGCTAAGACTTCAGGAAGGACTTTTCAGGAGAGCTGAGCCCCGAGATGCTCTTTTCACCTCAACAGAAAGCACTGACTTCCAGGCAGGATGCAAAGCAGACAGATGTCTGCTCCAGGCTGCTGGCTCAGCCAAGCACATCTTTCCACCAAGTAAATGGAAGCTGAACCCCTCCCCTCCTTCAGTGGTTGTCTTCTGGATGTTCCCACAGGATGCTCTTCAAACACACTGCTCTGCTGCTGGCAGTGGAGCTGTTATCCCCACTTACTGAACTGCTCAGCTTGGCTCTGCCTCAGCACACACACTGCTCCAGGAGCCAGGCTGCCCAATCTCTTACATCCATCCCCAAAAATCACCTTCCAAGCTCCTAGGGCTAGGACCTCCATGTGGATGTCTTCAAAGTTTTATCCTTGCTCAGCAAGGACTTGGGGTGGCAAACCTGTAACCAGCCTGACAACTTCAGTGACTAGGTTAGGCAGGAGGGTGACTAGAGCTTTGCCAGCCTTTGCCCTGGCCTTGCCAGTCCACAGGAACTACACCTGGAGAAACCACACTGGATTTCCATTCTGTTTCAAGGGAAAGCTAAAAGCAGCATGGAAGTTAGCTGATAGCCTGCAGTCTGATCTCTCTCTCAGCACTTTGCCTGGGAAAAAACAACAACACCAAAGAACCCATCTACACTTGTTTGCAAAGCTCAGTGGTTCTATTTACATCCTGAACATGGAATCCCATTTCATCAGGAGTACACTTTGAAGCCTCATCTGGAGGGGTAGTGGAAGAAAAAAGCTTGTAAAAGAAAGTGCTGAAGCTTGCTGAACAGGAGAGCTTCCCCACATCCTCCTCCTCCCATTACAAAAGAACTTACTGGATTAATCCTGCTTTTCTCTCCCAGCCCTTCCTCTTCTTGGATCTTTGAGGAGAGCCAGAAGAACCTGAAGTCAGTCTGTGAAAGGAGGCAGAAACTCAATGACTATCCACTCCCCATCTCCTGCTGAGTGTCTCCACCCCTCTGGGAGATTCACAAGCTCAGCCTCAACCAGCCAGCATCCCCAGCTCTGCTACGTCCCTCCAAAAGATGCACCCAATTGTTCCACCAGCCCATGAGATGAAATGCCCACCCTGGAGCATGGTGGGCTGTGTCGTGTGGTGGCTACAGAGCAGCTGATGGAGCAGGAACAAAAGGGAGGGAGGGCAGAGGGGGAGATGCAGTACCTGGCAGTCATAAACAGGGTGTCCTCTCCAGCACATCACATCCAGGATGTAGTAGGTCTGCTTTGCCTCGTTGTAGATGCAGTCCAAGATGCAGTACACTGCACACAGACACAGGGAGCTCCAGACATGCTCCAGAGACCACCCAACCCAACAGCTCATCACCAGACCCAACCTCTCCTGCCTTTAAGCCTGCCCTGATGCAGGGCTGAGAGGTGCAGAGGGATCCCCTGCTCCTAACAGGAGCTGCAACCACAAAAGACCTTCAGCCTGGAGCCCAGCCAGGCTGCACAGGCAGGTTTCAGAACGTGCCACCTGGCAGACACAACCCCTGCTCAGGGCAGGCAAAAGGACCCAGGAGCTGGGGCAGCAGCAGGAAGTTCCCCTCTCTCCACCCCAAGTCCCTCCCCAGCCCTGTACCTTTCTCGCCTGCCGAGTTGTGCCGGTTCCCCCCCGGCAGCAGGGAGGGGAACCTGTTGACACAGAAGCCACTCTTGGTGTAAGCTGCTGTTGTGCCCTGCAAGGAGAGGGGGAAACAAGACAAGTGAAGCCCAACACACAGGCCAGGCTTAGGAGACGGGTCCTTCAGCAGGAGGTGAGACACCCCCCACCACTGCCACCTACCCTGGATGCCACCACCAGTGCCCTTTTTCCAACGGGACACACCACGACAACCCACTCCTGCTCCAGATCCAAGGGGACATCCACCAGCCATTCAGACAGCATCAGCTATGGAGAAATCCAGAAAAAACCCAACCTCAACAAAGCAGTCAGGCACAGCTTCCTGGAAGTTATAGAAAAGTCCCAGCAAGAAGGTGTTGACTTGGCTTCTCCTGCTACACTGGATCCTTCAGAGGCAGCTTGCACTGCAGCTTGCATTTCCCTCCTCCCTCAGACCAACCTGCACAACAGACTCTCCCCCCAGGTCTTTCTCTTGCTTCCCAGCTGCTGACTGAGCTTCAGAGCACAGCACAGGGCTCCCAGTCCTCACTTGGGCACCCTGGTCCCCACAACAGCCTCACTTGAACACTTTGTTTGTTTGTAAATACATGGCAGAGCTTAGAGAGCCCTAAATATTTGGAGTGAAGAGCTCAGAGAAGTTGACCTCTTCAGAGGTTGCCTGGCTGCAACCACCTGTGTGTCTTTTAGGACCAAGGTGGCTAAAACCCACCAGGCTGAAGGTTTCCCTTCCTTCCCAGTGTCCCAAACATGGGGAGACAATGAAACTTAAGTAACTGAATGCTGCCTCCCAAAAAACACCCAGAGAACCCATCTCCACCTGCCCTCCATTTGAGCACAGCATGTCTGAGGGGTGGGAGAACTGAGGCATGGTCCTCACTGAGCACCAACACAGCCAGGACATGTTATTCCCAGACAAGACATGTTATTCCCAGCCCCATGGCCACCCACTATGCCCAGCCTGCCCACCTCGTGGCCCTCACCCTGCCCAGCAGCTCCTCACCTGATTGGCGTAGCGCTTGGGCAGCTTCTTGCCAGCATCCACCTCCATCTCCTCTTCCTCTGCATCTTCCCCTTCCTTCTCCTCACCCTCGCTCTCTGCCCCTGTCCAGTCATCCTCTGCCAGCCTCCTGGCATGGTTCACGTAGTCCAGCCGCCTCCTGGGGTGGAGGAACCAGACTGTCTTGCCCTCTTGTGCCAGGCAGGCCATCACACCCCTCCATGCCCAAGGTCCCCACACACAGACCAGGGTCCCCTCAAGCCCCCCACAGACCCAGGGCACCCTAAGCCCCCCACAGCCCAAGGGCCCCCCAGACCCTCACACCCCTCCATGCCCAAGGTCCCCACACACAGCCCAGGGTCCCCTACAGCCCCACACACACCCAGGGCACCCTAAGTCCCCCCATGCCAGGGTCCCTTCACAGCCCAGAGCCCCCCCAGACCCTCACACTCCTCCACAACCAAGGTCCACACACACAGCCCAATGTCCCCATCAGCCCTAGAGCACCCTAAACCCTCACAAAGCCTGTGACACCCCAAGACGCTCACACCCCTCCACACCCAAGTCTCCCTTGCCCTCGTGTGCCCCCCAGGCCCTCACACCCCTACACACCCAACGTCCCCACACACAGCCCAGGGTCCCCTACAGCCCCACACACACCCAGGGCACCCTAAACCCTCAAACAGCCCATTCTCTTCACAGCCCAGAGCCCCCCCAGACCCTCACACTCCTCCACAACCAAGGTCCACACGCCAGGCCCCCCCAGACCCTCACACCCCTCCATACCCAAGGTCCCCACACACAGCCCAGGGTCCCCTCAAGCCCCCCACAGACCCAGGGCACCCTAAGCCCTCACACAGCCCGTGACACCCCAAGACCCTCACACCCCTCCACACCCAGGGCCTGCCACACAGTCCAGGGCCCCCCAGACCCTCACACCCCTCCATACCCAAGGTCCCCACACACAGCCCAGGGTCCCCTCAAGCCCCCCACAGACCCAGGGCACCCTAAGCCCTCACACAGCCCGTGACACCCCAAGACCCTCACACCCCTCCACACCCAGGGCCTGCCACACAGTCCAGGGCCCCCCAGACCCTCACACCCCTCCATACCCAAGGTCCCCACACACAGCCCA